CGTATTAGTATACGAGTGAGGAAGTTCAATTTATTGGGAACTATAATGCCCTTACGGAAGAAAAAATTGCAATTGTTGGAAGAAACGGTGGCGTTCTAGGCCCTGATTATTTAAACATTCAAATGTTAAATTAATTTGTTATCAGATTATTATCAAGCCATAAAGCCTGCAAATAAAGCACCAACTGAAGCTATACGCACTTAGCCTCAGTATTGGAATTACTAATATTACTCAGTATACTAATATTAAATAATATCTCCAAAGTTACGGAAGACTGTAAGAAAGATATGGTTACAAATTTAGGTCTCGTGATATAAACCAATTTTTTTTTTCTCCAAATTTAAATTAAAGTCTAATGCACGAAAATTAATTTACTACTAGCTACCAGCATGATTCGCTCAAAGTCTCATGCTGGTGATCCGATGTCAGGGAAAATACTTTCAGAAATAGTTGACAGTTCGAAAATCTGCCAGCCAATCACTGACGGCTTTTCAAGCTTAACTCAAGGCGAGAAAAATATCGGTCGCTACGTGTACTTAGCAGCCACTTGTAATTGAGCGAATTTTGATGGTATGACCCACAGTCAGCGGAATCGCTTGCTTCAACATTGTAGGTTGATAATGGAAGAATAATAACTGAGTTTCTTCACGCCGTACCTAGCAAGAATAATTGGTTATAATGACTTATTTTGTCTGCATAGCCATGAGACATAAGTCGGCCTAGATCTGGAGTTCAGCTCTGTCAAAATAACGTAGTTATCGCTACAAATATCCCTAGTTTGTTCAGTAGGACCAATCCAGTCACCAATCACACATTTTAAGGAAGTAGAAATATTTCGTGTTAGAATTAGTTATTCGTGCTGAAAAAGTCTTAGGATTAATAATACTTTTTGAAGTGATGCCATAGCGGCGACGCATATAGAGGAAGTACTGCAATAGATAGCACGATAGGGCTAGAATTTTTACTACATGGGTCGCACTGCAGTCTTGTCGCCTACCTCCAATAGAAACGATCTACTCTATATATAAAACTGAACTAATCTTTTTGGCGGGATCAGATCAGCTTTGTAGTTATTTCTTATCACTTATTTATCGTAGTTTTGACCAGTACTACACGGTTTTTATTAAGGAGCGGCGAGTTGATCCAGTATCCGCCGAAGGGCGACTCACGTGTCGCAAACGGTAGATGAAACGTTTCGAAAATCTATTTGATCTGACGGAGCCTCTGAAACATAATCTGATGATCTTAATAGTCAGGATCAAATTCAACGAAATTAAACTAAGTAAAACGCCGAGATCAAAGAATAGTGACGCAGTACAAGATTACTTGAACGCTATAGTTACCGAGTAGCATACGGGCCGTATATAAATATCTGTCATAAAATTTATGATCATCAAAGAGAAGCAAACCATAATTTGACGTCCCCAGCCTCCACGCACTCAATTTGAGGAAGATTACGAGCTTTAAAATGTTATTTATTCAATGTTATTTTAGCAACGTGATCATAAATCATAGGATTATTGAAACCGGTCAGCCTCTTATCTAAGTAGGAGCCTACGTGGTAGCAGGTTAACGTACCTCACGATGATTGCGGTGCACGTGAAGTATGTAGGAGGCTACATACGTGAAGAATGTAGGAGGCTACATACGTGAAGTATGTAGGAGGCTGCTTACGTGAAGTATGTAGAAGGCTTCATACGTGAAGTGTGTAGGGGGCTACATACGTGAAGTATGTAGGAGGCTACATACGTGAAGTATGTAAGAGGCTACATACGCAAAGTATGTAGGAGGCTACATACGTGAAGTATGTAGGAGTCTTAATACGTAAAGTATGTAGGAGGCTAAATACGTGAAGTATGTAAGAGGCTACTTACGTGATGTATGTAGGAGGCTAAATACGTGAAGTATTTAGGAGGCTATATGCGTGATCGTATGTAGGAGGCTACATACGTGTAGTATGTAGGAGGCTACATACGTGAAGTATTTAGGAGGCTACATACGTGAAGTATGTAGGAGGCTACATACGTGAAGTATGTAGGGGCTACATACGTGAAGTATGTAGGGGGCTATCCTTTTAGCAGATCCCGGCCGGGCGCGCCTCCTCGGCGTTGTCAAGGAAAATGACTTGTCTTATTTATAGTGAACAATAACGCTCCCACTTAATAATTCAGGCGATTCGACACAATACAGTAGTGAATTTTCGCCGAAGAATTTCGTGCTTTTCGTCTAAGAATTTTCGTTTCAATGGGAAGGACGAAATAAGAAGGAGGAATGTGGCAGGAAATCCTAGTATAAGTGATATAAGGCGTATAACATTAAGAACTGCATAATACCATAAGGCAATTATGATACAAGTAAAATAAACTATTTAAAAAACCTCGTCCTAAAATTAATCACTTTACCATCCATGGAACTTGTCTTTATTATGAGTGTTAGATGACAGACAGGACAATCGTTCGCAGCAATGACGGCCATTAAGTTTTTCGTTCAATAATAAGTCCATTCGGAAAAGAAAACTCGATTAAAATTGGTTAATGTTAATGGTTGACATCAATGAAAAAAAAGAAACGATACCGACCGATGGGAGCGCAGCCGTGCACCACCAATTTTGTGCACCAATAAGCCCTGAATCGAACACCTTGGATCTCTCCGGACATCCACCAATCAGCCGTGAACCACTCGGCTTTGTCCTCCTCTGGCCTTGCGTAGAACCTGCCGTGCACCACCAGGCCGCGGATCGAATCTGACTTCCGGGCATCGTTAAATTACGTAATTTTACATTTACCGTATCTGAGGTTAGGTTTCAGATAGCATAGTTCTGTTCCAAAATTTATCGTCCTCCGACAAGTGGCCGTTCGACCGAGGGCTGGTTCGACCCACGTCCTACATACGGACGGCTTGACGTGTTGAAGGCTACGTTCCGGAAGGCAGGAATCATGATGGTCCATTACATCCAGGGCAGTGGTGGTCTTCGGCAGGCGACCCCGACCGATCACGTCGCAGTGACGGCCATTGAGTTGCTCGCTCAACAGCGCCGCGTAATGCGAGTGACCGCGCGAGTCCCGCACTGATGGATGAGCAACTTGCTTTACAATAATTTAACCTGAATAAACTTGAGTGATGGACTGCACTTGAGATGAATCTCAACGGTAGAGACGAAAGTTATGAGGTTAAGTTATGAAGATATATTTCGACAGATTTTCATTGAAAAAGTTTGAGACCAGCTTAATCATCAGTTTCAAATCTGGATCAATACAAGTATTGATCTGATAATGGAAATGGTCCTCAAAACGTTTTCAATGAAGTATAATGAATTTATATGATCTTTTTCGCTTTAAAATTATTTTATACTTGCGGTGTCAGCAAACTAATAATAGAATAGAACTAAATTATCTACACTTGTTTTTATTCTCCGGGTATCCACGTATTTTGTGCCGTATAAAAGCCCACATCTATAAATTTCCTAGTGTATTTTGCACCATACAATGAGAACAAACGACAAGAACGTATCGAAATGATAGCACAATCAAGTGCGTCTTAATGCGTCTCGCGTGTGCAGGTTAGCATAACTATACATCACCAGCACGATGCTGCAACCTGCGTCTTTCCTCGTATCTCTCATATTACTGTTGGGAAAGCAACATTTTTATAACTGCTAGGGGTATAAGTAAAAGAAGTTAGTTTATTATATCAAATACTATAGCAATAACTACCTCATAAGCGAACATTTGAATACCAGTGAACGCAAACTCATCTACAACGTCGCTGCGAGTGCGGCAGTTGAAATTTTACAGTCGGAATATTACTTACAACTTTCGCGTGATGAAACAGTGGGTTTAATTATATGTAAGCTATTACTGAACAAACAGAACTGAGAGCCCTGACTATGACTTTTACCCTACTCGGGTTCTAAGCGTCAGTCAACAGACTTGTATACCACGGCAACACAAACGACGTAAATAATTCTAAAAATTTATCCATGCCGGGCTTAGAGTTGAGAGTTGTAGTGTACTCCCATCTCTCTTCAGCGCATCATAATTATGTAGCGTTCACTGAATAAACTTCGGTTAACCGACATGGCCATAATAACCGAATGTTAGTGATAGATATTGACAAAAAAGTTTTCAGTAATGAAAGGAATGTCACGCTAAAAAAATAAATTCAGTACACTTTAAATGGAAATATCAGGCTTGTCAAACTCGCATGCGTGAATTTGATCCATCCGACTCATTCATGATATCCCGTTTATGTCAGTCAGTCCTCAAATAATGCGGATACGTCATGTAATCAGTGAACTTGGACGAGAAGTCAAGAGTTACATTAGCGTTAATTCTTCTTCGAGGAAATATCGATTGTTTTGTGACGTAAAACTCTTAGAACTGGCGAGACGTGATGACGTCATTCATAATCTTAAGACCGGTATAAGTAGGAGCGGCAAGTACATTTTGTTGCTCTTTATTTTCGGTGTACCGCAATATTCAGAGACCCTGTTTATGGATTATAATTTGTTTATCGTCGATTAGCATAAGACAAAGACATACCCAAAAATTAGAAACTTTTTGGTGAGGCAATTTATTTACAAGTCAAATATTTTTCTTAGACTTATGAAGAGCACAGAGCCATTCTGTATATAGAGCCATTCATGGAATCTTCTCCAATTATCTTAAGGGCAAGAGTTGCTTTTATTCAATAAGTGCAATTTCATGAACATCCAAATGTCAACACCTTACAGTATTTCTTTGCACACGCAAAATGGACAACATAATTCCAATTTTGGAATGAACAAAAGACAAACATAGGAGTCGTAGACTCTTACATTTCTACATACAACTTTCTCGGCGACTAATTAAGTAAGTCAAATGCGTGCCTAATTAATGCTATCTGAGTTCATATTTGCCTTTCAAGCAGCATGTGCTACGTGCTACTCGAAATTCAATACTTTATCGTAACTCCCCAGTATTTTTCTAATCAACTCTCCTCCAGCACTGGCGTTACATACTCTAGGGCGAAGGGTTGCTAGGGTCTAGGCTCAAATCCTTGGCAAGCTGCAAAAACAATCTAGGAAGTCTAGAATCGGCGATACGCCAGATCTAGCATAATCAACACAGACGCTACAATTGCTGCGAAGAAAATGGTAAAAATTCTCATTATCTTAATTAAAAACGGATCAAAATCTAAGTGCATCGTCTCTCCTAAGATAATATAATGATAGAGGCTAGAGTAGGCGCAATAATTTAGCGGATTAGCTCTGTAAAATCCACCCTGACACTCAAGCACAGCCTACGAGCCGCCAAAGACTCTTAGGGTGTCTCGCGCGTGCAGGTGAACGCAATTCTGTGTCGGAAAAGCGTTACTGTTACTCGTGTCTCTACTGTTACATGCATGTTCTGTTTACGCTAGTGTTGGGGAAGCAACATTTGTGGATTTTCAGAAGTCATGAGTGGGAAGTAACAAGCGCCAGCTCTTTAACAAAATTAATTATAAGAACATTATCGCTGCACCATATATCTAAAACTTGCATTTGATGCTTCAAAGTCCCATTTGGGACAGAAAAATTTATATCTTCATAAATAAATTTTTCCTCGGATTATCCAAACGAAAGTCAAATTTTTCATATCTACATTTACTGAACATATTATTAAATCATGGAGAAGTTTGAGCGCTAACTATGATTGAGCCTTGGATAAAGTTGAACACGCTACTTCAGCAGACTTGTATGTCATGGCAGCACTGTTCACATGAATAATTTTATCCATGTCCATATTTATTCAAGGAGAGTAGAGTGTTGAGAGAGGTAGTGAACAACTTGCTTACTTCAATTCATTAAAATTAAGCAAGCGATTGGTTCATTCAAATTAAACAAGCGAACTGAAGGACACTATTGCCGGGATGCCCGTCTGTTCACTTCCCCGTACATGCGTTAAGCCCCTTTGTCTACGGACACATGAACCGTTGTCAACGCTATTCCTACAAAGAGGCCTGGTACCGAGACTTACCATCAGCATACTTGGCGGCATACTCAGCATACTCTGGTTATTCCTGAAATATTGCAGATGAATTGTATAGTCAGTAGAAATTGACATATGATGTGGTTTCAAATTAATTGGGATTGTGAAAGTAAGGCCTACATAATTGTCATCTCAAAAATATGAGTATATCAGATTATATAGAAGAAGGCTTACCTCTAAACTAGCTGGGATTGCCCAGGCAATCGATGAATCGACAACAGCAAGGAGTCTGATCCGAGATACGTTATCATATAGCCTCCTACTGACATCACGTGCGCAGTCTCTTTAGTTTTTCACTTACAAGGACAAGGCAGACGTAAGCGAAAATTTACTTCCGGCCTTAAGCATCGGTTTCATTCTACGGCGTTACAGCAGTGGCAACGTTCCAAAGAAAATTTTACATTTTAGCACCCTTGTGTGGATGATATGATTAGGCAAATAATCACATTTACTGAACAAAACATGCAAATTATTTGCTATAACCACACTGATCTCATGTGATCTCCGGTTGAGCGCTATATTGTCAAACTTGGGTATCATGGCTGCTCAAACGAAACATGAATCATACGCAACACTAATTCTTGCTAGGCTGTGCGTTCAGAAACACATTCAACACTTTTCCATTATAAACGCTCAATAATGCAGGAGCGACTTCCTTTGACCATGCATTGGATCTCCAGCATGCAGACATCGAGCTAATATGGCTGACAGCTTGTAGCCAATAAGTTCTCGTTCATTGAAATGAAATGCAAATTTTGAACCAAACAGTTTAGTTGTATTTCACAAGAATATTAATTTCCACCATACATATACCCAACATTCACTTTCCTTCACAAGAAAATGTTAATAAATTATGATCAAATATACGAGTCTGAGACAGGTGTGACAAAAACATAAAATTGGCCGGTCGTATTAGACAGTCAACGGTTGCGTTGAAAACGGAAGAGTAGCGTTGTCGGATGCCCGTTTGTTAACTTCACTGTGCATGTGGTCAATATTTTTCATGGATTCATAAACGTCAGAGTCGTAACTATCAAAGCGCCTCTTGCCTGCACTTACCATCAGATAGCATGGGGGTATGGTAGCTTTATTTAAAGATATTATACTAGAAGCAGCTGTGCAATACCATGAAATACTGTCTGTAGTCATTCTAACCGAATTTATTAGTATGCTTAAACTTATCATATAATTATTACTATCCATAACACTCGACTAATTTACTGGATTGGTCGTTCTCAAGCTGTTACTGAACACGTTGTATCGAAATTGAGCCTTAACTTCCATATTTAACATGAGCGCCAGTTGATCTCTCGGCGCCAGCAGGCTTGTATTTAATGTCGGTTAATCATTCATAGCACGCAGTGAGTTCATTAGAAAATTATTGAATTTGACGCATTGAACAAATATTTCTATTCAGTTTATCATAATTGAGCCAGCAGCTTTCACTGAACAAACTTTGGAAAACCGGCAAGCTCAGAAAACCGTACGTGAATGATTGATATCAGCGAAAAGATTTCAAAGAAGTGATGAGTACCAATTTCATCAACAACTCAATAACGTATGAAAAAAATGATTTGCTCTTTATGTACACTACAGGCTTAACAAATTCAAATGCTCATATGCAAAAAATTATGAATATCTATTGACTTGATATATTGCCCTTATAGTATAGGGTAATATGGGGCAGCGAGCCCACTGCGGGTCACGGGTCCATAGCGGGTTTCTCGCTAAGTATGGCAGATATTGGTCCGTGTTCTCTACCGCCTGTCGAAAGTTTCACTGGGATGAAGTGTACGGATTTACGTTTTGCTAAGTGTTTGCGTTATTAAGTTCTTTGCGAATAACTGTTTTAGTCCAGATAAAAATTTTTTTGCCGCTACATAAAGTTTTTTTCGATTACTATAGATGAAGCTTTTGAAATTACTGTGAATTATTTTTTCAAAGTAATATTTATAGGGATAATTTTGAGACCAAGTTTAGACAATTAGCTTTTAAAATAAAATGTTGACACGATATAAATTGAAATGATACCTAGTGGGGGCAGCGGGCCCACGCGTGTCACGGGGCAAAGCGCCCATGGTGAAGTCTTGTGTTATACAACATTAGATTTGTCTCAATGACCTTTTCAAACTATAACTAGCTTTTTGAATTACAAATTACACTTCATATTGCATGATTTTTTTATTTGCCGCCTCAAGGTTTAGTTTCTAGTTATGCGTATTTATGACCACTTTTCGAGTTATTGACTCTTGCCTTGCCAAAAGTTGATTTCAGTCAACACCAATGAGCCAAAAGTTGATGAGAGTTTTTATGGTGTTGGCTGAAATCACGATTAGGTACGAATTATCTGCACATAATATCTGGATTATGGACGGAACTGGAACGAAGTTTTTTCCTGATCAACTAAATATATTTTTTATAGTCAAGGATACATTTTTTCATGTCAAGGACGAATTTTTTATCGCAAGGATATATTTTCAAGTCAAGGATATATATTTTTATGTCATTGAAATATTTTTCTTCACATCAGTGATAGATTTTTTAAGCCAAGAGCATATTTTTTTCAAGTTAAGTATATGATTTTTTGAGTTGTTAATGAATAAGTGAATGTCATATTTTTTATTGCATTTTCTTATTTTCAACTGTAAAGTGTTGTTTTATCTTTTTAAACGAAAAATATGCATTTGTGGTAAAGGAACCATGGGTGGGCGCCTTGCCCCAAGCCCTTGGGCTCATTGCCCCAGGGGTGGGGCAATGGGCCCATTTTGACACTTTTTACAAAACAGTGTTTCATTAAAAATTGAATGAACATATAGGCGTCTAATTCACATCATACATTCCTCATTAGTTGTACCTTTGAACAAAACAAAGAACCACCTCGTATCAATTGAAACTTCATCAAAAATTTAGTTTAAAAAAGTGGGGGGCGCGCTGCCCCATGTTGCCCTACTTAGTTCAGCACTGAAGTAATGTGAATAAAAAATGTGCTCAGTACAGTAAGATTCAACCTGCAAATTCGGGTTCAATTATAATAATGACATTCAACAGCATAAATTATTAATTGGATCGCTATTACATAGGAATACGAATATGGTCGATAACGTCTTTGCGCTTCATTCGAGAACTTGGTTGAGAATTTCGTTAGATTGGAACGCCACAGTTTCTTTCGACACAACTTTACAATTTCACATCCGAATTGCGTTCTCGTAATAATTTGATATAGCCATTTTCCTATAAGCACAATTGTACATTCTATAGATTTCCAGCCATAGCAACTGCTGTTGGAAATCTACACTAGAAAAGGCTTACATAATCCATTTTCAAAGAGATTTGATTGAATAATAATTGTTACTGAAAACGAATGGACACAACATATATGTGGGCTCTCGCACTCACAAGCAAATATTGAACATTATTTATTAACATTTTCGTGTATAAGTGAGCAAGCTAGTGGAATATAAATGTTCCAAAGAGTTGTTCTTTCAATTCCAATAACACTTTTTGATTCCTAATTGCATTTCAGCTTAATGTGTGAAAACGTATTTGTATCGTGCTATCATCAATGTGAGCTGCTTGCCTCTATGTTATTTATCCCACGCATATTCTAGTCGCGTGCAATACTACAGTGCGTTGATGATAGAAAAATGTTTATTGCGCTTTTTAACGCACGGTCTAGCAAGAACTAATGTTCCGTAAGCTTCATTTTGGCAATGCAGACATCGACGCAAGTCTGTCGACGCCGGGTGCTCGAGCGAAGCATAGCGTGAATAGCGTAGTTATGGTTCAAAATATTTGATGGTTGTTCAGTAAGATCGATTAAACTACGAACCGCATTTCTCCAGCTTTGAGTATCTAAATTAGAGCGATTAATAGAAACTTTGTTATCCATCCCTGAGATAGAATTAAGCTCTCTGCCGTAAAGTGCGCTTAGATCGTATGTGCTTATAAATGTGCGCAAGCAAGTATTTCTTTGCAGTTGAAACGAGATGGGTCAAAAATACTTGTTCTGTTTAGCAACGGAAATAACGAGACCATTCAAAATTTTGGTAATCCCGGGCGATGCCGTGACGGGACGAGGCATTTCGGTCAAATAAGGGTTATGCAAATTTACCGGAATTGCATCTTTTTGAACGTGACATCGCGCAACGTACTAGGTAATGTTTGATTTGAAATTTAAATAGTGAATTTGATCAACATTTAGTCCGTTCACAATGGTTCAGGTATTTTATTATGTAAAATGATGTCGCTATTTCCCATCTAGCAAATTTGACGGACCAGAGAAAGCTCGTCCACACGTTCCTGAAGGGCTGCCTCATTACGCGGGGCCACTTGTGGCCGCCACTCTAATTGATCAGTAATAATCGCCAATAATTATCAGGCAGCGAGTAGCGGCCAGTAGCTGCCCGTTGAGAGCCTATACTTTCATACAATAAGACTTGTGAAACTGACATAGCTGCCCGAGAATAGTGTTTCTTTTCAACTTTCATTGGTGTACAATTGAATGACCAAGTGGTCAAACGATGAAGTTTACAGAGCAGATGGTGGTACGTTCCCTACATGGCAGAGACTAATTACTCTGGTGGTGGCGCAAGGGACATTCTTCAATGCTATACTGGGGTGTAAACTTTAGCTTTGGTCTACAACATCACAACTTAAGATGTATCCATAAGATTACTATTCTCATGAGAGTCTCGGCCATTAAACGTTAATGAAGCCTAGCTTATATTAATTTCAGATGTTCTCAGGATATTCTAATGCCACATCAGAGTCCCTTTTTTTGGCCGGCTTTTTATCTCTTCACATGCCCGATGTGTTGCCATCATCGACCTTGTAAATATTGCCACAAAGTTTACATCGAATATTGGCTTGTTTTATACCTCGGTCTATTCCCGCTTGTTTCATGTTCCTCCTCAAAATACCCAGATGCCACTTTTGATTCGTGGCGTCTTGCAGGACCTGAGAAAGCCTTTCCACACTCGGCTAAGCGGCTGACCAATATAGACACTGCGTCACCGACTGGCGATGATGCTATTATGCGTACTTGAACTCGTGTGGTTCTAGTCATGCGCGATTGAAGGCTCAACAGCAACATTATTCAGTCAATATTCAGCCGTACATCGCCCCAGTCTGCCCACTAATTTGACTGCCAAAATGGTTTAGCAGCCAAATATTGCCAAATCTGCCCATGACTGGCAACTGCCCATTAATAATCTAGAGTTGGCATGTTATTCCATAATCCTCGCGTTCGGAATGTCGCACTCAGTTTCTTATCGTGCATGATCGTCTGAGTTTCTTATCGTGCATCGTCTCAGTTTCTTATCGTGCATGGACTCACTTATTGTCCCGTGCCATACGTCTATTCCGGGACAATTTTTCCATCTGTCTCAGAATTTTTCCGGAAAATTTCTCGTCTCGTCCCGTTGTCTCGCTTGATTTCGAGAAAATTATTCCGAGACGTAGCGTCTAATTTCTTGGTAATGTTGCAGGCGTCTGCTCACCTTGAAGCTCGTAATCTTCCACCTGTTGAGGGCGAGGAGGCCACAGGTGTCCAAAGATGGTTTTCTTGTTGCTAATCATAATTTACATTACAAATAAGCATTTATTAATATATGCATAAATTATACACTACATAAGAGTACTTTGATGCATTATCAACTGTCCAGCGGGCCTTCCTACGTCGCCCGCCATGATATCATTCCAGATAATATGCGACCCTTCATGACTATCGTAGGTTTTGCATTATTATAACGAAAAATATACGTTTAATTTTTTATTCCTCAGATAAAATTAAGTCACAACAACTCATGTCTACAAATCAACTGAACACAATTTAGCTGCATTATTTGAGGGATGACGCCAGTACTGACCAATGCATTGAACCGAACGTTATTCCTCTATATTTTTGCATATGAATTTCAAAATCCTGTGACATGCAATTATTTCTAATTAGAAATTCTTCTAAATCCGATTAGCATTTTTAATTTCAAATTTTTACTTCAACTTATTAGCTAATGACAATGTTATTTAAATTCGAAGTGATCATACCGGTTATCCGAAGTTTTCTCAGTGGAAAATTTTCGTTTAATTACGTTGAACTTAAATAAGTTGTCCATTACGTTTCTCAACTCACTGCCCTGCCTGTTTAAATGTTTATTATAATTCCTGTTGTCTTTGTTGCCTTAATATATAAGTCTACTGACGCTGAGTGATCAACAGACTCCCATATGTCCGAGGTTGCGCTCAAGACATTGATATTGAATTTATTACATATTAAGCTCTACCTGAGGATCGAGTTCTTCGTTAACTAAGGTAGTGAGGGATAAGTAAGACACATCAGTCCAGATAACGCATCTTGTATACGGGGTGGTAATACAAAGTTGCGATACAGAGATATAAGCTACGGCATCGACCGTAAGGTCGGAGAACTCTACCGACACGCTACATCAAGGAGTGCTCATCAGCTACTGCATGGGGGTTTGCTTAAGGTTACCTTTTATTAGCTTCGCTACTGAGGTCTTTACACTACTGAGGTCTTGATCGCGTGATCTATCACGTGTCTATCAGATGATGACTCGTCCTCAATCTCTATCAGGGCAAGTGAATTGACACCGGACACACACCATGTATCATAATTAATGCTCACATTGCATTTTATGTGTTCAGTAACCATATGTATATGCCTAAACTGAATCATATATGGCTAAGATTATAGAAAGTGTTAAATAATTATAAATGCTTTGTCCATATGAGCGCAATGTGTACGTATGACCTGCCTTCTAAATTTCCAAAGTTGTCTGAAATTGTTGCAGATCCTTGCTTATTGATAAAAGGAGAAACAAGAATATTTCGTCAGCCAAGAAATTAGGAAGTGATAACATTTACGGTGGTACTGCCAGGCACCATGCACCTTGCTGCTGCCAGGCACCATGTGCACCTTGCTGCTGCCAGGCACCATGTGCACCTTGCTGCTGCCAGGCACCATGTGCACCTTGCTGCTGCCAGGCACCATGTGCACCTTGCTGCTGCCAGGCACCATGTGCACCTTGCTGCTGCCAGGCACCATGTGCACCTTGCTGCTGCCAGGCACCATGTGCACCTTGCTGCTGCCAGGCACCATGTGCACCTTGCTGCTGCCAGGCACCATGTGCACCTTGCTGCTGCCAGGCACCATGTGCACCTTGCTGCTGCCAGGCACCATGTGCACCTTGCTGCTGCCAGGCACCATGTGCACCTTGCTGCTGCCAGGCACCATGTGCACCTTGCTGCTGCCAGGCACCATGTGCACCTTGCTGCTGTCTGGAGACGAGGTAGCGCACCTCTACTTCAGCTTATACTTCAACTGGCAGCCGACCCAGCAACAGATGTACAGACCCTACGACCTGACGCCTGGCCTCCGCATCTGTAGTAACTATTAGCTTCTAATCCTTGTTGAGTCTATTTTTCTACTGTCTTATTATTTAGTGTGAATTTCAATGAGATTGTTCCTAAAACTGTGTTTAGGGGAAACATACATTTCAGGCGTCACCGCGTGAGTGGCAACTTCAAAAATATTAACTACGTAAGAGAGCTAGATGCATATAAGATAAGATGGGCTTGGCCTCCATTTTGCACGTACTGAATAAATGATGAGCAATAACTAGGCTATTCAGAAAGAGCGCCAGTGGCGCACTCAGCATTGACAGACTTGTCATCATGACTGCACAGTCAAATGATTCGTCATAAATAATAGTTCTCGCTGGGCAGCGCGTTCAAAAACAAAGCCAACTATTTTATTCTATTAACGCAAATAAAGAAGAGTACCGCACCCATATACCATGCATCGCATCATCGAGCTAATATGGCTGATGGCAGGTAGCAAATAAGTTTTCACTCATCAGAGAAACCATTTCTCAAAGATCCATTTGTGTACCCTGCCATGGACAGACATATTTCGTGACACCAGAGGCAAATGAATAACCATAAATATTCATGTTGGCAGTGGATTCTTAGACCCAGTCTCCCTTCAGCGCATCTTAATTTAGCAATTAATATACTCAGAAAAAAACCTCGAATAACCAGCATGTCTGAATTAACCTTGCAAGAATGTTAACAAACGAGCTATCAATGGTCCTCTAAAGTACACAGCCAGAATAAAAAATATCGAGTTGTGACATAATCAATTTGTTCAACATATAAGTAATAGGAGTTTTAAACTAAATCATATTGGGCGTAATGTTCTACGTACGAATTTTATATATGAGTCAGCCTTGCAATGAACCAATTGAATCATAACCAAGTATGAATCATATTAATTGTTATTAATTAATCATATTTTCTTGTAAGTACAGCGCTGGGCGACATCCAAGACACTCGGCTCTGAACGATGTGATCAGGAGGGCTCTTCAGAGCGCTGGCGTCCCTTCATGCCTTGAACCCGTTGGAGTGGACAGAGGGGATGGTAAGAGACCATTTTGTTGGAATGGTGAGTGTGGGAGGCCTTTAAAGAAAGAAAAAATATTAATTGTAGAAACGGATGAAAATATAATTTTTATTTTGCTCACCTTCAGCGATTATCCATTGTCAAATATCATTGTCTGTACTCTGCTACGCCATAAACTATCGATAACTAGCTCTGTTCTAGAGATTTGTGCTATATTTTGATGTCAGTAAATTTTTTCTTTAACTACCTTGGTCGTGCTAAAATGAAAGAAAATCACTGTATATAGGGCTAGTTGGTGGAATGCAGACTTTAAAGCTTGGCTTAATTATAAACAGACTCTCTGGGTACCTGTGGTAAGCTGAGGACGGAATCATGCTTATGAAATTGAAACATGATTTCACTAACTAATAATAGTGTTATAGATTTGTTACTAAGCGTTACCGTTACTTTTCTCGTATATCTAGTGTTATTTGTTCTGTTGCCTTTTACGCTAGTGTTAGGAACGCACCATTCTGGATTTTCAGAAGTCATAAATGGGAAGCAACAGGCATGAATTCATCACTAAATTTTACGCCAGTACAAGATATTTATTACTTTACACATATAGATACAGCTACAATGACTTTCTCGCACATTATACCCTAGGCAAATAGCAAAATTTAAGAGCTTATAATTTACAATATATCTTCCTCAACGGAAAAAGTTTGAAAATTTATATACATACTTTTACTGAAGAAATAATGACAACATAGCCATGTTTGAGCGCTAACTATGATATATGCCATGAATGCCTGTCGAGCACACAGAGTTAGCAGGCTTGTACATCATGGCCGCACAGTTCACATGAATAATTTTATCCGTGTTTACATTTGTCCAAGAAGAGTAGTGTGTTGAGAGATGTAGTGAACATATATACTTAGAATGATTTATTCTTTATAATTAAACAAGCGATTTCACGGAGCAAACTTCGGATGATCGGCATGCAGCATGATTCCAAAGATTTTAAATGAATAAAATTAGCTAATTGGTTAATAAACAGGTCAGCAATTAAAAGGTAAAGCCATGTTTGAAAAATAAGGAACTTGTAATACATATATGACATAGAATTTGTCAAATCCTGGACGAAGATATGGATGAGTAACATTCGCTTCGAAAAAAATCATCTATACTATAGTCAGTCCTCAAATGATATATAAAAAATAAATATCTGGTTGAATCATGCATTAAGATTAATGTCTACTCCATTTTATGATAAGAATCTCACAAAAGTGAGCCGCAAGTAGCATCCAGTGCAATTTTGTCGTTCCTTATGTGTATAACGTTCAAGAGTTTACACACCGATGTGTATTTATGATGAAAATCATACTTATTTCGTTACAACGCAGACAACATGAATAACCATAAATATTTATCCATGGTGAGCAGTGAGTTTAAATACGTATAGTGTATATCCATCAATAATGAGTAGTGGAAAGATTATTATAATATATTAAATATAATAAAAATTTTAATAATAAGTTGAATAATTGATACTAGCTTGTAGAAATAAATCTCAGAATTTCTTTTTCTTCCCTTAGACCCTTAATTAATATCGGTCTTGGTTCAGGCCTTGTGGGCGCACTGAGCACCAAGGGTTTGATGTACGCGGAAGGTACTGACTTAATTACTTGACTGATGGATTCACAAATTTAACAAGCTGATCAATGATCGGCTTCGGTTTTCCAAAATCGGTGTCAGGTGCTCGCATGTGATGTGGCGCTGTTGGTAACTTCGCCGCCGAATGCATGCGGCTGTGACGGGCTGGCTGCAGTTTAGCTTGCATGGAAATCAAGCCTATCGGCACTATGCGCCAACATTTTATACGTAAGTAAAACTCAGTTATTCTGTTGTAAAAAATTGTGGCATTCAAGTCTGAAGGACGTCAGTTCGGCAAAGACGTTTGCATGTTAACTTCCTCGTGGATATGATCAAGTGCATTAGCTCGATTGATTTATTCCTTTGAGCGGCTGATGGAGTCTTTGGTGGCTCGTAGGTTGTGCTTCACAATCAGATTTCAGGAATATATCGTGTCATGATAATAGCGTTCATGACCATTTGTTTGCATTGTAACGAACAAATACTATGTATGAAAATTATCCGGATTAAACTTAAATATTCATTGAATTCAGTATATCTGAATTCAACGAGGGTTCGCTGGGACCAGGTGGGTGGCATATGGAAACAGAAGAAATCGTTGCCAGATTGTCTTGTGTTAGGCAGATAACAATTTTCTCAACAATTAAAGAAGAAATTGAAATGAAGGCTTGAATAAAACTTGGTTTGTAGGTTTGTTATAAAGTCTAAGACTTCCTAATTTCTCACTAATATTTACCTCTTTTCGAGATCTTTAATCACTTCTAACGTTGCCACGAGGTTAAATCAGAATTACAACTTCCGTATTAAAATTATTACGTTAATTCATCGATTTTC